GCACAATGAGAAGAATAAGGAACAAGGAATTAAACATAGAGAGAATTCATAGTTGCATCTTTTTTCAACATGGTCTTCTTTCTTTTTTCAAGACACGGAATTCTCTCTATGTTTAATTCCTTGTTTCTTATTCCTCTCATTGTGCACGAGCCCTTACTCTATATAATGTACTATTATTGTTATTACTATTATTGTTACTACTTATTATTTTTTATAAGATTTATTTAAGTTATACATATCTAATTTTTTTTAGAATTTTTTATAAAAAATTGCTTATAAATACTAATATATTAAATATTATAATTAAAAATATTATTGTACATTATATAGATTTAAAATAATCTAAAAATGATTGTTAATGATAATAAATATTAAACAATATTACTTTCAGTTGATGAGCTTTGTTACGATTGAATACAGTAGGGATCTTCTTACAAAAGTATTTTCCTTCTCTTTTATTATTCTTATCTGCACTGTAGAATATAATGTGCTATATTTCAAATCGGAACAAGTGAGTTAATCAATAAAATCTTTCACAATAACAAAGCATAAAATGGTCAACAATACAAAATATTTCACAAGCTATACATTGTTCAAATATAATAGTAATTACTTGATTCTAATTAGCATTTGCAATATCTTGCACGGAGAATTATTGGGAGCTTTCCAACAAGCGACACAAGTCGACACAAATGTTGTTTTGTCTTTGTTACTCATTGCCAAAAAAGAAAGATAGAACGATGCTTGTGTCGACTTGTGTCGCTTACTGGAAAGCTCCCATTGTCAATAGTGTTGCATTTTTAATAATGTCTTTGTTATCACAATATTATTTTGATTAAATATTATAGAATTATACATTGACAGTAAAATTAACTATTGCAAGCAATTATGGTACTTAATTGACAGGTGAAGTGTCTTTTCGAACAAGTCCTATATGACTGGCATGCTCTAACTGATGCAGAGGAAATAGAAATAATACAAAAATACGCGAATAAAGGGAGATTATGTACTATTAGTGCAGGATGTGAGAACAATACTCATATTATGAGAATTTGCATGTACTTGTTACTTTTATTTTATATTATAATTAAAAAATATGTAATGTATCTTGCTATTATTATATTTCACAATATTATCACACTAGCTCATTTATAATAGTTTACTTTTAAAAATTTTTACGAAAACAGATAAATATTATGTTAAATATCTATTAAAACAGCTAATTAATGATCAATGTTAATTTTTCTTAATCCATTATTGATATATCATCGATATATATATGTATACATTATTATTCACTGGTTTTAGTCCTTCTATATTCTGGCATTCTGGTTTTCTTTTCATTGTTTTTCGTACCGGACATTCTTGATATTGTGGCACCATTGAACGAGCCTCGGCGACATCAATTGCCTATCGCAATCGAAACCTTTTTCGACCAGGAAAAATATTTTCTCTTTATTATTATAAACGGCTTAGTAATCACTCTTATAGATTTAACCATATTATTGACCTTTGAAACGTTATATGCGGTATTTATACAACACGCTTGCGGATTATTGAAGCTTACTAGGTAAGATGTTTGTTATTACGTATTATATATAATAATACGTATTCATTGTTATATATATATTGTCAATTTCTGAATTGTTATAAATTATGCGATTGGCATTGTTTTAGCCATCGTATCTTGAACGCATTCGACGATCGTTTGCAACAGATGAGTATGTTTAAATCAAAGTGCACCATCTGTGTTAAATTGTCTAAAGCTATTAAAATTCACAGACGATCTTTAGAGTGCGTATTAATTTAAGGATAATTTGGTGCATTGCAAATAATATATTCAAAGCTTACTTATATTTAAACGACTTACGTATATACGCTAGATTATATTTTAAAGCATGTATCCATAAACTGATAAAATCGATGTTCCGTAAAAAAATAAGATATATGTATATATTATACATATATATTAAATTTTTATAAATTATATATACATGGAAGATTCGCATACACGTACACGTGCATGTTTATGATTTTCTTCTCTTATATTCAAGATTTGCCGAATGTTTATGCTCTACTTTTTCTATCTCCTACTTAATTTTGTGCATATTTGGGATAGCTTCTTTAAGCATTAATTTATTTGAAGTGAGTAAAACTTGTGTTAGTGTGATTTCTAGCAACTTCTTTTTAATTGAGAGACTCATACTTTTTGCTCAATCTTAGCTCTTGAAAGCAATTGAATCAAAACACACGAGCCAAATAACCTATTTTGGTATAACCGTCTTTGGTCATTTATGTTATATGTTTTGGGTTAATTATTTTGGTCAAAACTTGATAGACAACAGTGCCGACGTGTTTGCACAAACGTAAGTGCCGAATTAAAAATGAACAGCCTACTTGTTTTAGCAAGTGAAATATAATATCTATTACATATTTATAAATTATTTATGTTTATAGTTATAATGTACAATGGTACACGGTGTCTCCACATATTCAAAAGAAAATATTATTTATACTACACAGATCTTCAAAGAATATCTTATTCGATGTTGGCCATATATTTACATTCTCAATGGACGGAATTGCTACGGTAATAATTTTATTATGAATAAATATATTTAAACATAAATAATTATTTTGGATATGTATAAAATAAAATGTATTTAGCATGAATAATGCAAAATAATATAAATTTTATTATAGCTTATTAACTCGTCTTTGTCATACTCTATGCTACTCTATTCCACCCGGACATGATTTATATCGATATGACAAAAATATGGCTACGATCGTCTATAATCCCTTTTTTATACTTTAAAGAATGCTATCACGCAATAAAACTTACTTCAGCATGACACGCGAGATTTTTTTACTATCATTTATCACAATGAAATATATTTTTCTCACTTATGGCTTTCTGAAACAGAACACACTCGAATGTCCTTCACACATGCATCGATGATATCTTCTTCAAATACACTTTCGTACAATTTGTAAAAGTAATTTCAAAAATAACGGTTTCACACGTATCTTCTCTAGCTTGTCGGTGTCGTAACGTATTTGCGAGACATTTCTCTGGAAGAGAAACCCTCCGTCACGCTCTCCTGCGCACAAACCACCGTGAATGTAAGAAATTTTTTGTCGCATCGCGCGTGCGTAAAAATTCTGGTAACTGCTACCGTTCCACCCCTGAGAAAGCCACCGGTGGTTACATTAAACATGTAATTTAGTTGCCTTACGTTGCAATCAGATTCTTGGTAGTCCACGGTGCACGATAGTCGAATGACTTATCCAATCTTGCTTTAAAGACCGTTTGGCAATAAGTTAATTTATAAATTGTCCACCCGGTATCTCAGATTCTTCGTAATGCCACGCATTATCGTCATCATAACGCGGAAAATGCATGCAATAAGTTTGTAATAGCTACTGAAATATTCCGGTAATGGTAGAATGATATAGGATCGCGCGTAATCTTTGCAAATCTGCGTGCACAAAATCGCAGCGACTACCAATCGGAATGGATTTCTTCAACAATGAGTACTACATCACCCGACATCTAATGGAGTCGATCGGTCTGTGGCCGTATCAAAAGCCAGAACGTCGAATGGTTCGAGTGCTCTGCGTGTCCTTCATTCTCATTCAAACCATACTACTGCAGGTAGGCCTCTGTGATCGTTGCATCTGTTCTATTATTTCCATAGGGATGACTGATCTGTGCAGTCATTTAGGTTTAGCGAGCACATCACGGACCATAATATACTGCACGGAGCTTAATATACTGCTCACATTTACACATCCACGCGGTTTTGCGAGTAATTGTGCCATAAACATCTGAAAAAGTGAAAACAATACACAACAAAGTTTAAAAATCGTGAGAAGAATAAGAATAAAAACAAAATGCATGTCATATGTTTTATATAGATGGAGTAAGATGAAGCTTAATTTCTATTTGTATCATTTAATTAAAACAGTATTTTATTGGAATCACAAATGTGTGCTTTACAAATTTATCAAAAAATATATGTAAAATATTAAAAAGTGAGTATTAAATTGCAGAAAGTAATCGAGTAACTTAAATTATAAGAATTTTACGATGTTGTCTAAATATATTTTTTTATTTGACCTGTAAAAATAAAAAGGGTGATAGATTAAAATGGAACACTCTCCACATATAAAAGAATATAAAAATCATATCTAGATTACAACGTATATTTGGCGTAGATTATTTACAGGCACGTATAAATTGCACATTTTACATTACTGTTTGACTTCTATGCACAAAATAAAACATATTTGCATCTTTGATTTAGAAAAAGAATTTAAGAATAAATTAAGAATTCTGTTTTTAGTTGGCAACATTTATCACGCACGAATATAGTACATCGCTGTTTATTGAAGTCTTTTCATTTAGCATTCTTTGTATGATTTATCTTCTGAAATATAATACAGTGTATTTTAATTCTAATCACGTGAGTCATCTGAATCAATTTTAAGAAGTTAATTAGAAGTGATTTTATGAAATACCTACTTAATATTTTAATCTCTCATTGTTTGTAATCGTAGGTGAAGAATTTGTTTGATCAAATTCAATGCGATTGGAAATTGATAAAAAACATGGACGAACTGAAAATAATTAAAAAATATGCATATAAAACAAGATTTTATGCAATCTTTTCTGGATGTAAGTAAAATAGAACACGGTTCTCATTTAATAATGTTTATAGGATTTGAACTTTATTTAAAAATAAATAAAGAATTTAATTGAAAGAAGTATCTGTCAGAGATGCCTGAAAACAAATTATCACGTAAATATATATTACTAGTTGTTGTAAATATTATCTGTTAAATTTGAATATTTTCAGCTATTGTTTATCCAGGAACATTTCTCTTCCTTTTAATTATATTTGTACCAGATTTTCTCGATCTTATAAAGCCATTAGATGAACCTCGTCAACGACAACTTCCAGTACAAATGGAATGCTTTCTCGATCAAGACAGATATTTTTACTTTATTTCACTTATCATTATAATAGTCGCTTTTGTAGGTATGACGGTAATTATGGCGACGGAAAACATGTACATGATATTTGTACAGCATTCTTGTGCATTGTTCGAACTTATCAGGTGAAACAATGTGAAATTCTCGGCTTAACTTTAGAAGGCTACCTCTCTCCTTCGATTTTTTTAACTAAATGTAGTTTACAACTCCATATTAGTCTGGAGTTGCGGAAGTGCCTATAGTTTTTGATAAATACAAATTTTAATTATTCAGACTAATTAACATTTTTCAAGATTTTGATATGAAAAAACAATTGGAGTTCAAAAATATTTTGCTGAAATGTTTTATTTTATTATTGTATCGGATAACTGTATATATATCTAATATGTTGTCAAAATAACATGAAAAGAAAAAACAAGAAATCAAAGAAGCTTATTTTCTCGTTACATTTTTCGATATTGTCGCTCGTTATTTATTAAAAAGTTATTAGCAAAAGTTATTAACAAAAGAAGTTTTATAAATAGAACGTAACCACAAAGGTTCCCAACTTTCCACGCGAAGCGAGGTCCACTCGACATCGCCCCATATATCTATATACATATATAAAGGAAGATGTCCTGACTGACTGACTGACTGACTCATCAACGCCCAGCCCAAACCCCTGAACCGAATTTTTACCAAAAGTATATGAAATAGAGGTAGAATTTTCCGGGGAGTGCCACTATGTGTATAGCTTTTTGTTACCGATTTTTTGGAAACCGGTTTTTCTAATTTTTCTAATTTTTCGGGAAATAATTGACCGAATTTCAAAGAATTGTAGATCAAACAGGGGTAGAATTTTCCGGGGAGTGCTATAAAGTGTATAATTTTTCGTTACCGATCTTTTTGGGAACCGGTACGGAAATTTTTTCAATTTTTCGGGAATTTATTGACCGAATCTGAAAGAATTGTATATAAAGTAAGGGTAGAATTTTACGGCGAGCACCATAATGTGTACAGTTTTTGTTACCGATCTTTTTGAAAACCGATTTTTTTAATTTTTCCAATTTTTCGGGAAATAATTGTATATGAAGTAGGGGTAGAATTTTACGGCGAGCGCCATAATGTGTACAATTTTTGTTACCGATCTTTTTGGAAACCGGTTTTTTTAATTCGCAAAATTTGAACCAGACCTTGATCAATCGATAGGTTTATAATTCACCGAATTTTAAAGAATTATAGATCAAATAGGGGTAGAATTTTCCGGGGAGTGCTATAAAGTGTATAATTTTTTGTTACCGATCTTTTTGGAAACCGGTACGGAAATTTTTTCAATTTTTCGGGAATTCATTGACCGAATTTTAAAGAATTGTATATGAAGTAGGGGTAGAATATATTTTACGGGGAGCGCTATAATGTGTATAGTTTTTGTTACCGATCTTTTTGGAAACCGGTTTTTTTAATTTTTCGGGACATAATTGATTGAATCTCAAAGAATTATACATGAAGTAGGGGTAGAATTTCCCGGAGAATGCTATAAAGTGTAGTATTTTTTGTTACCGATTTTTTTGGAAACCGGTTCCGAATGATCATATCTCAAAGAATTGTACATACAAAGTAGGGGTAGAATTTCCCGGAGAGTGCTATAAAGTATATAATTTTTCGTTACCGATCTTTTTGGGAATTGGTATCAGAAGTTTCGAAATTTTCGGGAAATAATTGATCGAATTATAAAGAATTGTATATAAAACAGGGGTAGAATTTCCCGGGAAGTGCTATAAACTGTAGTTTTTCGTTACCGATTTTTTTGGGAACCGGTATTTTTTTGGAAATCAGTTACAAAATTTTTCCAATTTTTTAGGAAATAATTGAGTGAATCTCAAATTGTATATGACAGAATTGAACTTCAGTCGATAAAAAAGTAATATTTTTCAATTTATAGCATTTGAGAGAGAGAGAGAGAGAGAGAG